CTTCACTACAGTCCCTTTATATACTGTAGTCATTTGACCAATGGAAATACTGTGTTTCTACATAGGATAACAGGTTACAACCTTGTAACTTTGGCAACTGTTGGTGGGCCAAATCAAATGGCTTGGKGGGCCAAATTTGGCCCGCGGGCCCCACTTTGGGCTCCTCTSCTGTAAARGAAGTAAACCAAAGAGTGTTTAAAARTGCAATGCTCCCACAAAAAGACACAACGTGATGCTGCTGAAGAGTTTGCTGCTAAGTTTTCTACTTGCGACCAGCACGACCTTCATATTCAGTTTGTTCTGGTGCAAAAATGTGAGCTATGTTACAAGTGTGAGTTTATTTTTATAAGTCACCAAAGATTGAGGCACATTACACTGACTTGTCCTGGCCCTCTCCCAGTCAACTGTTGACAGAGAAAGTCTTTTTCATGTGGTTCGCCTCTGCTGCCTTATGGGTGGGTCTCCTCTGAGACTCTGGATGATGATGCACACTGACCGGCTCAGAGGCTGGGCAAAAAGGACTTCTGTTCAGCACAGAGGAAATGGGCGTTCTCCTTGGAAACTTAGCAGTTATAGAGCCTGAAGAAAATAAACAAATACAAGGGGTGTGGCGAGGCTGGGGGGAACGTGGGGACCACCAAAACGGGCGCAATGTTGAAGAGAAGGGAAGCTGTCCTCAAGTTGTTGAGCTTTTATTAAAGTGAACAAGCAAAATCTGTGGTAAGTGTTTTTTATTATTATTCTTGATTTATCATGCTATTCCATTCAACATTTATTAGTTCCAGATGATTAAGTAAAAATGGCTTTTGGTACTTGTTTTGATTTTTCTTTAAAACCCTGACAAGCTACTTAAAATGTGTCTTCAACTTGTTTATAAGAGAACAACTTCTTTTTAACAAGAAAAAAGTGCATTTCTTTGTTTTCAACTTCTAAAACAACCATTTGTAACAGTCTTTTTCACCTGTCACTTTCATGTGATTAATGACCAACATAACAACATAATTTGACGGTAATTGTGACTCCACCGCCCACTCAAATGGGCCTTTCTGATAAAGATCTTCACATACAATTTCATCCTGTTCTTACTCTACTGCTGGTCATCTTTTCCTTCTTTTGTCTAAATATTATTAAAATAAAATAAGCCTCACTACTGCTATGACAGCCACGCTAGTGTTAAACACTACGACCCAAAAAAAGTGCCTAAAAGTTAAATTGTGCAAAAAAATTACTTTGTTTCCCCATTTTTCATGACTAAAAAACTGATTTGCAGACTTTTAATCCTTTAGCTACTGAAAAGGMAGTTAAGATTTTATGGTTTTTGGCTCGGTTTTAATGGGTCAACTCAATTTTATTTGCGGTTTTGCTGACGTTATAAAAGGCGGCACACAGGTCCAAGACGTGAAATTTGAGGGGGGTTTTTTTCTCTTGGTTTTGCAGGAAACTAAAAATGGCTTTACTCCTCATGTTTGTCACCCTTCTGCATCTCATCACACTGGCAATGCTGTTTATTGCAACTATGGAAAAGGTAATACACATATCACTGTAAGAAAATGATTCAATTCAGTTCTGGTTTCCTTGGAAAGCAGCACTAATTAACAACAAACGTCACCTCAGGGTATTATTAAAAAAAAGAACAAGTCCAAATCATAAATCCCAATCAGATTTAAACTCAAAGCCAAGTGTCAATTCAATTATTCTTATTATAAAAGTTATCTATCTAATGAAGCCAGCAGATTGTGTTGAATCTTCCACTTTGTTGTCACAATCTAAGCGGCACATTGGTGAGAATGGAAAGGAGACGCTCCCTTTCAGYAGAAAGAAACCTCCAGTGGAACCAGAACMAAAAATGTTTTTCTTATTGTCTGATCTCCTTTCAAAGACCTGGTGGGTGTGGGATGACTCAAAACTTTCAGACCTGTGGTACAACTGTAGGCTGGACAACTCCACAGAAACCTGGTTGTGTACATCTACCAAAGAAACGGGTAAAAACAATTGGATTGAACTAAAACCATCCTGACTTAGAAAGAAAATCTGAGAGTTTTAATAAATCTTTAAATATGCTTTTTGTTTTATTTCCTTAGTGTGGCTTCATGCAGTGCAGGTCCTCATGGTTCTCTCGGTGGTCTTCTCTGCTGTCTCCTTCTTTGTGTTCTTGGGCCAGCTGCTCACCATGTCTAAGGGTGGACTCTTCTACTTCACTGGACTRTGTCAAGTCTTTGCAGGTGACCGTATCACCAAAATACCTTTGTGTAATTTTAGGCCATTTGAGAAAGGCTCAGCCGAGGAGGAGAGCCTGGTTCTTCCTCCACATGGAGCTTAAAGTGCCTGGGACATCAAATTTTTGTAATAAATGTGAATGCGTTTTTTGGAAAAAAGAACACTGATAACATGTTGCAAAACAAATTTCACGCCACTGAGATGAACAGTTGTTCAGATATTTGCGTGTGAAGAAACAGGAAGTGATGTCAAAGGGGAATGTCTGCATGTAAACAGAGCGATGCTGCAATAATTAGAGAAGAATCTGATGTTTCTTGAGATTATTTTGAGTCACTATCAGAGTTGAAGAAGAAATTAAATAAAATTGTTTCAATAAACAAAGACTAGAGAGTTTATTTTCTTAAAGAGCTCCACTTTGATGTCACTTCCTGTTTCACTTTGCCACTTAGCCAATTTCAAGAGAAAATACACCAGTTATAAGACAAAATCGGTAAAATCATGTGTATTAGGCTAATTTTCTTAAATATAAATATGTTTTCTTTGACTTTTTGTGTTTGAAGGATAAGAATGTCACAGGCCCTTTAATCTCTTTCTAAAGGCTTTGTCAAACTAACAGAGTACGTGAACATTTTAAAAAGATGTTTTTTAATTGTTGAACTATAAAAACCATCACAAATGTGCCTTTAAGCTACAGCACAATCTAATATTTTTGTAATAAGGTGCTTCTACTGTACGTTCAACATGACTTTCTTAAATTTTAAATTGTTGACATAAAATTACTAGAATTATTTCACAGTTAAATATAAACTGTTTGCTGACCTTCCTTTATAGATGTTGTTGTTTTGCGTGTTTTTCAGGTCTGACAGACTTTTCTGCTGCACTCATCTACACACTCCACAATAAGGACATTCTTTGGGACTCACAAAAACTGTTTTCGGGATACTTCGGCTACTGCTTCATCCTGGCCTGGGTGTGTGTTCCTCTGTTGTTGTGCAGCGGCATCATATACATCCACTTGCATAAGAAAGAGTGACCAGACAAAGGACAAGCGCAATCAGCTGCAGCATCGGCAATGAAATGACTGACGTGGCGTCACTGTTTTATATTGAAAAAAAGAGTTTCAAAGAAACATCAYGGCTTATATGATGTATGCACATGCTTGAGCTTCAGATAATAAGACTGTTGGTATGAGTTACTTTTCCTGACACTCACCTTGATTTGATTTTTCAACGATTTGAGATGATTGTGACACTCATCCTTGTATTAGGCCTACTGTTTTATCTTCTGCTGTAATTATATGTAACCAATGAAGACGAATAACCAACATGTCATTTCCTCTAGTAACGATGTCCTTATGTTGTTGTCCTCATAAAACTTTTTCATGTAAACTAATTAAAAATATTTATATTTTTGTACCACAAGCTAATACTGTATGTAGAATGTATATTTGCAAAAATCTCAAATAAATGTCTCAAAAACCTTGAAATCCTTGCTATATTCCTATTATATTTCTTGGAATATTTGGCCATATTTTGATCTAAAGTATCTAAAGTATGGGCAAAGCTTAGAGCCATCAGATTTTTGTGATTTACACTTTTTGCATTTGTTTTATTTGCTATAAAAGGAACATTTTGATACATTGCAGAAGTGATCAAATATATATTTTTTTGTGAAGCAAATGTATTACCCAAACATTAACAGGAGAGAATCATTTTCAAGGAAAATTGGCAGAATTTACATTATAAATGTAACTTTTATTGTATTTAAAGCAAAAAAGCTCACATCAGTATGAGAAAGCATGAATGCTGAGTAATTAAAGCCTGCTGATATTTACTGAAGAACCTGAAAATAATTTGTTAAAGCTAAAATAAGTTCATACGTTTAGCGTTTTTATGCAGTTAAAATTATATACTGTTTAATGGAACAGATGTTTTTCCACGGGAGTCTTATTTTTAAACAGCTGAAGTTAACAATTTTGAAAAAAGTACAGGTAAAAGATAGATAGATAGATAGATAGATAGATAGATAGATAGATAGATAGATAGATAGATAGATAGATAGATAGATAGTTTGTTCGTGGAAGTTGTTTATAAAAGGGCAAAATCATGTTTCTGTGAATTTGGTTCAGTTTTATCTAAAGTTTAAGCACTAGGTGGCAGTGTACGCCACATTTACGCCATTTATTTATTTATTTCTGAACGTCTCGTGACGTTCACGTGACCAAACTGACATGATGAAGCCAGATGACCAGCTGGAAAATACATTACCACGATGTTTACTTCTTGTTCTCTAATAGGTTGCCTGTGTCTTTTGTGATAGTTACAATGAGCACAACCGCATTAATGTAGAATTTAAAAGTATAAACCTGCACTACATCCGGTTCTTGGCTCATCTGCAGACACAAGAGGGTGCTGAATAAAAGCTCCACCAGCACACAGCAGTGAGGAGCAGCATGTGGTGACCCTCCCTGTGGGGGTTTATGGAAAGAGATGAACCACTAAAGTCAGCAGAGAGCTTGTGCATGCTTTCCTTTCTGCCTTCGTAACGAAATAAAGAAAAGCACAGGTTCAGAATTAAGTGCAGATTTGTAACCATCACATATGGATCAAAACTAAAGATGCAGAAAGAAGCAAGTTTTCTTTAGGATTGAAGGTGTTGAAGTCAATTATTGCAACAATATTTCTTTCYTKTTTTTGTTGGAATTGGCTACGTTAAATGACAATAWTGGAGGGAGATAAAATCTTCACTTCTAGCTCCCATGTGTCAGGGGCATGACAGGACTCTAGTCTGCTCAAGGCCTATTTCTGAAACTGAAAAAGACAAGCAAAGGAAGGAACAAACATCCTCCAAAGAAAAAAAGAAAAAAAAAAGCATGGAAAGCCAAGATGGTTTCCACATAAGCAGAGGAAGGGAACCAGATGAACAAAATTACAGACTACTTATGTAACAGTATACAATTTTGTATGTCCTTTGTGAACTCAGATAATRGCTTCTGAACTGACTTTGCATTTGAAATATCAGCAAAATCCAAGCCAGGTGATTTTACAGTTAATTGTAAATCTTGTTTGTTTTGCAGTTTGTAGGACAGTTTGTGACAACATCAGGAAAGAACTGACATTTCCTATGCACAACGAGGCAGTCATGATTCCTATATTTAAGGTGATGAAAGATGTCTTTCGTGCATRGATAGTGTGTTTCATTTCCTTAGCAATACAGAGCACCAGCAGGATGACTGGGTGGGGATCCATGAAAGAATCTGTCCACAAAAGCTTTTCAGGCAGAGTCACGTGGAAAACYAAATGAAAAAGGTGAGCATTAATGTAATTTACTGAAGTCACATATAAAAACAACTTTGAAATATACAGGTTGGCAAAAATTAGATTGTTCATTCTTACCTATTTTTCAAGATAAATGCAAAATAAAATGAACRAGGGAACTAAACATAGCTCAATCAACCGACAGTTTGGTTAATTTTGTTCTGTTTATCTTTCAAACTTGTATTATTGCATTTCAAGATATGTAATTGTTAGGATTAAAGT